TTTTTACGTGAAACCATTTTAAAAGTCATACAGCTAATTTAAATGACATTTTCCTGCTATCAAGTCAAAATGTTCGCCGATATTATAGCATTTTTGTCTTCATTCCCACACATGTTTTGCCTGACAGAGAGTGCCACTAGAATTATATTTCAACTCTTATTTAAAGACTGACGTAAGTGCACATTTCAACTTGTGGCTTTCCACAACAGAAGTACTGGCCCCTGTAGGTTTTCAGAGCCTATCGGCCAACTATCTTCACCCATCCTCGGTGTATACTCCGACCGTTTTAATAGGCCTGTAATAGGCCAGAATGTCCCAGTCTCCACGTGACACTGATTCAAGGCCACACTTGTTACTAGGCCGCTGCTCAGGCACGTTGCGCAGAAACTGTGTACGTGCGAACATGGCGCATTCCAGAATGTTGCGTCTTATCTAAATCATTTGCTGCTATCCGCAAAGACTTTAGCAGTGCGTTTCCTTACAAGAAATTACCGAATAAGACAATATTACAACCGGGTGTCTTTGAGAACGTGTTGTAAGACTGTTCTGTGAGTTATTTCTAACAAATTGAAACTTAGAAACAACTCGTTTGTCTTATTATATCGATGTCAACAAAGCTTAAAATTTTTGTTGTAATGACAAATGCTTTCTAAATAGAACAAACACTGAATGTATCGCTTATGCCAGTATCTGTTATCACTATCGTATTCTGTGATTGGTTTAAACAGTACTTTGTAGCCTAAATATTCTTTTAATAGAATATGGCTGTCATCTGGGGGTGTAGCTTCGTGTAGTCTGATAGAAGTTTACAAACGTTTCAGAAGTCCGTTCTGCACCCATCATCAGGGCGATATCGCTATAACCTAGAAAACAGCCATCTTAGGACTCACCTCCAAATAAACCTCAAATCCTACCTATTATTTTAATACGTCAACAATCTTATTATGGGGATATATTATATAATACTTTGAAAACCTCCAAATGTGTATAAAATTGTTGTGATTTTACGCTAAAATATGTCTTATATAGACATTCGAACAAGAGTACATTTTAATAGTGGTTGTGTCGTAAAATGTGTGTATTTTTCAAAATAATTTTCATTTTTAATAACTAGGCCCATATTGTATTTTATAATGACAGTTTTTCCTCACTGATTTAGTATCATGAAATGTTTGTACAATTTCAGTTATGTTATATACACGTGAACATTAATTTACCAGATTTTCTGTAAAAAAAAATACCACTTCTAGCTATAATTCCCTTTTATTTTCCAAATATCTCTCACCTCCTAAACGCAGTATAGGTTTATTTAATAAGCTCGTCGATTTAAATATATAATCTTTTGTGTGTACATTATATAGATTGAATAAGTCATATTACCATAGTTATTCGATTAAAGACCACAGTTTTTATTTTATTCAAAGAAATGTTCGAATGAAAGTGGTCCATTTTCCTCTTAAGTAAAATAAGAATTTCATGTGTCCCACATTCAGGCTGGACACTACAATTCGGTACTAAAGTAATTCCACACATTGCAGTACAGCCGAAGGAGTCACATACTCGTAAATATGAAAACAAACAACACAAAGCATACGAGGTGCGATCGGAAAGTTCCAAGACTGTGTCAATAGAGGGCGAACCGGATGTAGTACGAGCTTCTGCCGCTAGGGGGTGCGGCCTACATTCATAGTGAATCAGTGTGCCAGCCGGCATCATCGAATTAGAATTTGTTTCTTAGATACGGGCGTTTTGGTAGTGCATTACACCGACCCTCCTGCGATTTCGGAATGGCGTGTGCATCAAATTTTGCCAATGACTCGCCAAAACGGCTACGGAAACCTATGAAATGCTAAAGCAAGCATTTGGGGAGTCCGCAAACCTTTGTGTGGCATTCACGTTTTAAAAATGGCCGAACCTCTGTCGATGATGACGAGCGTTCTGGACGACCATCTTCGAGCACAACGCCCGAAAATGTTACGAAGATCGACGTCGTACCATCAACGACTTGTGCGACATTGTTGGGATAGGCTATGGGACCTGTCAGCTGATTCTAAAGGAAGAACTCCACATGCGACGCATCCTGTCTGAGGACCAGAAGCAGAATCGACTTCTCGTTTGTCAGGAGCTCAAAGATCTTGCAAGAACCGACCCCAACTTCCTTTCTAAGGTTTCCTCTTCTCAAAGATGAAAATTCAGCTAAAGGGAATGAGATTTGAGACGATAGAAGAGATTCAGGGAGAATCGCAGATGGTGCTTGACAGGCTGACAAAGAAAGATTTCCAGGGATGCTTCCAGGCTTGGCAGCGGCGCTGGGATCGTTGTGTTCACTCCCAGGGGAACTACTTCGAGGGTGATGGATGAATTTAATACCTGAGATAAGTGTACGGGTTTTTATACGCGCAGTCTAAAAACTTTCCGATCGCACCTCGTATTTACAGGACGTGTTCAAAGTTTGACGTAATGACACTAATCAAGATTAAAATAATAAATTATACAATCGAAAAAGTTCACAATTTCGATTATGGATTTTTGTGACGTATTTTGTAGGCCCTTCCACACTTTGGAACGAATGGCTTTTACAGTAATTCGAAGGGAAGTAAACTCAGCTGATCATCTTCGTGGTATAAACGTTTGGAGCTACGTACAATCCTACAAGAAGTCAAACTTGCTCCATAGAGCCGAGCCCTTCCTGACAAGCCGCCAGTGGCTCATCAACTCAAGAATTTCTTAAAAATTTAATGGAACTCGAAGGCTCATTATAGTGTTCACAAGAGTCCGCCACTGATTCCTATCCTCAGCCAGATGAATCCGGTCCATAACAATTCATCCTATTTCTCTAAGATCCATTAAACTCAGCTGATGCAAAATAAAATTCTGTTGACTTCTGTCCGTAAACTTAAATAATTTGCACAAATTTAATAATATTTTACTTCTACAATTTTTAATATTAAGAAATTACTCGGCTTTGTGGCAGTTTATTGTAGGAAATTAGTACTGTGGATTTTTTATTTTCACAATTTAAATTTTATGAAAGTAACATAACCTAGAATAAAAATTTACTTGGATATTATCCATCGTCTAGTAAATATAAAACGTAAAAACGACGTTTCGGAGATGGGACTCCGAAACGTCGTTTTTACGTTTTATATTTACTAGACGATGGATAATATCCAGGTAAATTTTTATTCTATTGACTCTTCACCATCGTCAAGAAGTTTTAGATTTGATAACATAACCTAACTTAATGGAGTCTGAAAATTCGAAAGTATTTTCTGAGTCTGCGATGTTCTAGACATAACTTTGTTTTCATTTCCTCTGAAATTTTTCTCAGACTGATTCCAAAGATGTAAATAAAGAAACTGAAAACAGTAATAAGAAAATCTTGACTCGAATTGATAGTATTTGTGATCGCATATTCTCCCTGTTAGCGTGTGTAGATGGGCGATGTACTGTGGGAATGTTTGATCGAGTCCGTGGCCGACTGACCTTCCCTCTGTCGGTAGGATCCGTTACTTGTATAGACTCACGTGATTAAGTTGATTCTCATTTCTCATTGTAATGGATGATACCACCTGACATTCTGTACCGACTTCTAAGTTTATGAACGTTGTCAGAGGCTCTTACCGTATGAGAGGACGTTCGGCATTGTTATTTGATACAGAAAATACAGATACAAGTCACTGTAAGGTGGTGAGAATTAACATCACGTGTTAAGAAATCATTCACTCCTCGCGGGTTACAGGTGTTCGTTCATACCTCGGCAATCGGAACAAAAATAATGCTTTCTAACGTAATTTAATTGAACGAACCGCTCCGTTAGACGTTCCAATTATGGATTTTTTGCTCTGTTATTTTTACAATCGTAACATTATGGTTCGCTGTTTGTCTCTCCCTAAAAGGGCTATGTTTATTCGAAGATTTCTGTCTTCTGGGTTGTTGCGCTGTGTAGTCTGGTCGATGTTGACCAACGTTTCAGAGGTCATACTGCCTCCGTCATCAGAGTATGAAGATTTCTGTCTTCTGGGTTGTTGCGCTGTGTAGTCTGGTCGATGTTGACCAACGTTTCAGAGGTCATACTGCCTCCGTCATCAGGGCGATGAGTCTGAAGATTTCTGTCTTCTGGGTTGTTGCGCTGTGTAGTCTGGTCGTTGTTAACCAACGTTTCAGAGGTCATACTGCCTCCATCAGCAGGGCGATGAGTATGAAGATTGCTGTCTTCTGGGTTGTTGCGCTGTGTAGTCTGGTCGATGTTTACCAACGTTTTAGAGGTCATACTGCCTCCGTCTTCAGGGAGATGACTGCAATCTTTAGACTCACAAATTGTATTTGTTTGTCTAGCAGGAGAGAGATATAATCAGTATCAAGGCAAGATTGTCATTTGATCAAAACACTCTGTGTAGTGGAGACACAAATGCTTTATATTTTTGTTTCAGCTGGCGTCAGCTGAGGAGGTGGACGTCGTTGAGGCCGTTCCAGGAACGGTGCAAGGGGTAGGTCCCTCGCAAGAGGGAGCTGAGACAGGGGACACCCAGTTACTCCAAGAGAGGGGTGACGACTCTGACCTGTCGGGATCGGATCAAATAGCTCTGGAGTCGGGCGACCAAGAACTAGGAGGGAAGCAGCCGAATCATGGCTACTCTCCTCCGCAGAGAGGGCATCCAGTACGAGGCGCTTCGGGACTCGGTCTTCCACCGCCTCATTCAATCGGGAAGCCATTCGGAGGACCTCATCATGGAAAACAGCCTGTGTTCGAACACAGTCTGGAGTACCACGGTCCTCCACCACCTTTGCCTCAACAGAAACCACAGCCAGAGGCCATGGATAAAATTTATGGTGGTGGGGGTGTAGGGGGTGTTGGAGGCGATGCGTGGCCAGCCCCGATGCCGGATATGCCAAAGATCGTGTCTTTGGATGTGAAATGCGAGAAGAATTTGATGAAAGTTTATATCGGATTCGACAAACCTTTCTACGGTATAGTGTTCAGTAAGGGGCATTATAGCAATGTTAACTGTGTGCATCTCCCGGCTGGATTGGGACGAACTTCTGCGAACTTCGATATCAGCATACACGCGTGCGGAACTTCTGGTAACACAGAGAACGGTCTCTACGGCTATGGAGCAGATTCAGGGTCTGGCACCTACTTCGAGAACATTATCGTCGTGCAGTACGATCCTCAGGTACAAGAAGTGTGGGACCAGGCCCGGAAACTTCGCTGTACCTGGCATGACCAGTACGAGAAATCGGTGACGTTTCGACCGTTCCCAGTCGACATGCTCGACGTCGTGAGGGCCGACTTTGCAGGAGATAACGTCGGTTGCTGGATGCAGATACAGGTCGGCAAAGGACCTTGGGCCTCAGAGGTATCCGGACTCGTCAAGATCGGCCAGACAATGACGATGGTCCTTGCTATTAAAGACGACGATTCCAAGTTTGATATGCTTGTGCGCAACTGTATGGCCCACGATGGCAAACGAGCTCCGATCCAGCTGGTGGACCAGAAGGGCTGCGTCACGAGGCCGAAATTAATGTCTCGATTTACAAAAATCAAGAACTTTGGCGCCAGTGCTTCAGTGTTGTCTTACGCTCATTTCCAGGCGTTCAAGTTCCCGGACTCGATGGAAGTTCACTTCCAGTGCACGATTCAGATTTGCAGATACCAGTGCCCCGACCAATGTTCGGATCCTACGTCTCTCCTTCACGGCGGTCAAGGTCCGGACACGGGCTACGGCCCGCCACCTCCACCACCACTGCCTCTGGAGGCTTACCTCCACGCTGCGGCCGGAAGACCGAGAGACGAGCGGAGCGTCAGACGACAGCGCCGCGACACCTCGTCCGACCCCGAAAAGGAGGTCGGCGTGAACAGAGTGATCCGCGTCGTCTCTACGGGTGACCTCACGTTCTCTCTGGAAGATAACACCAACAGCAGCGCCCCCACCATGGTGTTCCCGGGGCGAAGTGAGGACCCGCCAGTCTCGGGGCTCATCTGCATGACAACCCCTGGATTCGCGGCAACCCTCGTCGTTCTACTCGCAATCCTCATCATCTCCTGCCTCATGTCGGCGTTTCTTTGCATCCGATTGCGACCATTTGCAACTTCCAACAAGAACCTGGCTGCCTCTTTCAGTAATCCTTCCCTCAACAAGAAGAAATCTAAGAGCTGTTTCTATTCGTAATACAAGGAGTGCTGGTCTAACGAGTCGATAGTGGCAGAGTGTTCATGGAATGAACAGGAGTAAGTTCAGGACGCCACTAATGCCCGAGCACAGTTTTATTGCAGGTTGTATGTTTAGATATGCTACGCGTTACCCAGGTCGTCCAACTTCACAGTTAAGCCTTGGGAATAACGCACGACGTTTCAGTGGTATCAAAATATACTTGCAAGGATAACTTAGATGTCGGCACACTCACAAAAAGTGAAAATGGAGCCTATAGAAGATGCTCGGAATTTTGAAAAAAAAATATTCTAACGAAGGCAGTGGCCGTTTTTGAGAAGTTAATAAAACTTAATGTGCTCATTTTTAACAAATTATTGTGTCAAAATTAAATCGTATCATTGTCAGATACCCTCATACGCCAGTAAGAAAATTTATTTAATTTTTATGGTCGTATACAGTGTTTTGAAAGAAAAATGTTATTAAAATTTTTGAGTATTTTTTATGCAGGCTTTAGAAATAAGTGTTACTTGGATTTAATTAGAGGCCATCTGATAATGATCCCTATCTAAATACCTGAACAGGCTTAGTACAGGCTAACCTAACCTAACCTTAACCTAACCTAACCTTAACCTAACCCAACCTAACCTAACCCAATCCAACCCAACCTAACCTAACCTAACCTAACCTAACCTTACCTTAACCTAACCCAACCTAACCTAACCCAATCCAACCCAACCTAACCTAACCTTAACCTAACCCAACCTAACCTAACCCAATCCAACCCAACCTAACCTTAACCTAACCCAACCTAACCTAACCTAACCTTAACCTAACCCAACCCAACCCAACCTAACCTTAACCTAACCCACCCTAACCTAACCTAACCTTAACCTAACCCAACCCAACCCAACCTAACCTTAACCTAACCCACCCTAATTTCTTTTCTCATCTTGATTTACTTGCAAGCATTATGTCTGTTTGGGTTTCTTTTAAATTGCTCAATGTTCTTATCTAATTTAATAGTTATTTTATTTATTAAGTATTTATTTTGCTAAATAGTGTTTTCAATAATCTTTTATATAACATATTTCGCCCACAGTACTGAAAGAGGACAAGGGTTACTTTGGGATGCTGTGGAACTCATGGTCTTATTATCATTTTGGTATTTATCTTCGTCATTAGCTCTGTGGTCTGCGTGCCCGTCATTTGTATTCTCATCATTATTTCCATCATTAACATCATCATTATTATCACCCAGGTCATAAACTTAACTCCATATTAACTTATATATTTATTATTCGATTTAAATCGACGAGTCATTTAAATTATGTATATTTTTTATTATTTTGAAAACCAGCTCAACAACTCTCTTCAGGGATATTTCACTTTGGTGTTCTGGTTTAAAGTGATCGATCTACTTTGTTGATCGATTCAGTCTGTGGGTTCGATAATTTTTATTTTGATGTATGTTATGTTATTTTTTATTAAAATGTAGACAGTAATTTAGTGGTTCCAGACACGTCTGTGAAGGAACCATTAGTTTGTAAATAGCCTATATTTATTATCGCGTTATACTGTGACAGCCCAGATCAGATTTGTTTGATCCTTTCAGACGTGTAGAGTGGCAGAGTCGATAACTGATCGAGACTACATTTTCGACCATTTAAATTGAAAGAGAACAGCTAAATGACAACAAATTTTATACGAAAAGTGTAACAAATGCTATGACTCTTTGAGTTCTAAATTTTATGTTACAGATAGTTTTTTTTAAAAAAAATCGAATTAAAGGTATCGATATATCGCAGGATATGTCTTTTGGTCGATCTTCAGTGGCTGAAACATTTACGATACAAATGGATGGCCGTAAATTTTGAAACAAATTCCTTGTGATAATTTTAGTAATTTTTAAAAGAAACATGTTCACGTTGGGGTGTAAGCAAAGAGGAATATTGTAGGACCACTCCTCTGCCAACCTCTTGATATTTTACTTGTTAAAAATAATATTCAGTGAACTTATTCTCCAACTCGGTTGAAATAAACTGACGTAGGTTTTGTACAATTTCTGCAGTCTAACAAGTTCTTCAAGTTCTTGACAGCCAAGTAACTTAACTTGATTAAATCCTGTTTGTAGTAATGTACCATACTCTTAAATCTAGTGTTCAGTTGATTAATGGTTCGTCTGAGGGAATAACTGAGTAAGTTATTTCTTGAATAACTGTGCGCAAGTGTGAAAATATCGCACACTGCAAAACAGTTTGTGGATGTCGGACCACGTTCAACTTACACTGATATTCAACTAGACCAGTGGTATTCAACCTGGGGTACGCGAAGACATCTTAGGGGGTAGGTGAAATTTAAAATATTTTTATTTTATGATAAACACTGAATAATCAGTAATGTAATGTATTTAATTTATTTTAGATATAAATTATATACTACGTAAAACTTGAAATATACACCAACAACTTTGGGGGTACAAAGTTGAAGAGAAATTATATCTGGGGGTACGCGAAGACATCTTAGGGGGTACGTGAAATTTTAAAAAAAATTATATTATTTTATGATAAACACTGAATAATCAGTAATGTAATTTATTTAATTTATTTTAGATGTAGATTATATACTATGTATAACTTGAATTGTACCCCAACAACTTTGGGGGTACAAAGTTGAAGAGAAATTATATCTGGGGGTACGCGAACAAAAAAGGTTGAATACCACTGTGCTAGAAGACCCACATTTAGATAAAAAACTCAGGATGAAACTGGTCATTATGGGCAAAGAAGTCTTCATTCATATCTTTGGGAAGAAAAAGTTAGGTTAAAATATATCCATTGTGGTGTCCAGGTGATTCTGTGAATTCTATTGAATTCTATAAATAAAATGGTATTGCATTTACAAAATACATACTCTTCTTTGGAAAGCGACGCTGATTTTGAATTTTCCGTACAGTTTCTTTTGAATACGTAAATTATAGTCTTCGATATAATTATAATTACAATAATCTGATTCCTTCTTTTTGTCTGTCTGAAACCTGGCAGAACTAGGCGATTGTAAATGGTTATCTCACGAATTGTCCCTGTGTATTAAAAAATGTGTCATGGTGGATTTAACTTGGGGGCCAAGCGGTCTGCTGTCCTTAAGCTGTTAATATGAAGCCGTCTCAACACGACACATGTAATTCGTACTTGGTACAGTTAAATTATTTAAAATGGATGTTAAATTTGGAATAATAAAAAGGTTTTAAAATAAATTTTGAAATTTATTAAATATTTACATATACACTAGCCAAAAAAGTTCGTTCTTTTCCTGGGTTTTTCTTAAAAGTAATATCACTGAAATAATTAAATTATTTATGAATATAACTCCGCTTAAATTAAAAGCAGTCATATGTAACAAATTTCATAACTTATTTGTTGTATAAACAATAACAGAACACTTTAAACCTTTTAAGGGACATAATATTAGTGCGTCGCTAGAAATAAACACTGAATTACTTATCTTTTAAAAATTAAATGCTGGGAACAGAAGAATTATACCTTTTATACTATTTAACGTCATGGCGCCTCGTAATAAATACGTAATAAATTACTTTGTGCATTGAAACCGTGGTTTCTTAGCAACAAAATATCAGTGAATATAGATCGATATGTAAATTGGGTTATACTACATACGATTTCTTAGCAAATAGCAGATAAGGACAGACAGAATCACAAGATGACAAGAAGGAAACTTAATAAAAAAAATACATGTATTTTAGAGGACAATGAATTTTTTTGTAGTTTAAGAGACGCGGGGACCAAAGTTTCGCCTGAACACCGCGCTAATATAACTTTTATACTTTCTTCCCATCACACTTAAATTCAATTGAGCAATACTCATATTAATTGTAGATGTGTGTTTGGAGAGAATGCTGTTTTATTATCAGTTATGTGCGAAATGATGAATGAAGAATCAAAATTGTTCTATTTTGTCACTGAGTGCATGTGTGTGATTGGAACGTAGGTATTACAAGACTAACAAATTGTATTTTGTACTGTAAGGAAACATTTGCTAGAAATTATAAATAAAAGAATACAAAAACAGCATCCATGGTTAATTTATTTGGATTTAATATTATTCAGCTAATGACTCCCCTTTGTCGAGTCTGAAGTAAAATCGTATTAACATTTTCAGCATAATAAACGTCTAAGTACAGTTGGGCCATAGATAAAACAGCACGTTTGTGGATGTCATGCAGATGGACAGATACCCTGTAAAATGGTGTGTTAATAATAATAATAATATTTGTCTCTTAATTTATGTAGCAATACCAACCGACAGAAATGTAATTAAGAAGGATTCGGAGAAGATCTTGAAATACAAGGACCTTCTCATTTAAATACAGCGAATGTGAAAAGTGAAAAATCCCAATAATTATAGGAGAAAATGGAACTGTCTTCAAATCACTCAGAAAATATTTGGAAACATTCCGGGCGAACACGACATCAGGGAACTTCAGAAAACTGTCATTCTAGAAACATCACACATCATTCGAAAAACGCTGTCGTAAAATATGTACATCCCTCACAATATAACTATATAATACTTTTAAATATACTAAAAACAAAATGTTTTTTTGGAAATAGTTGCTGGACTACGTACCTCAGGGGCAAGGTTTGTCTCGGGTACACAGAAGTAAATACCCTATAAAATGATGAATAAATAGAATAATCATAATAACGAGTTTCAGGAAAAAAAAGTTTTGAACCTGGTTCGTAGAAGGATACTAGGTAAGTTATTGAATAATAGTAACGATAATAATAATCTTAAAAAAAGCCCCTAT